TACTCAAAGCTATCAAATCTTGAACCGCTTCCTAACTACTGTTCCTGATTTTTCTTCTTATTTAAATTTTTATTTCTGTGACGAATGCATCATGTTTTTTGTGTAATTCACGCACTAACGCTGCAATCAAAGCCTTACGTGTTCAGAGAGAACGTGGTGATGCATTTTACGGCAATGGCAATTCACGTGATCAACTACTTGATCCTTTTTATTATGAAGCCTATACAACTGTGAAGGAGAAAGTGGCCTCGCGCGAGAATACAATTGCAGAGCAGGAAGAAACTATCAACACATTGAAGTGCAGTGAAAAAATGTGAGTTATATTCAAACTCTCCTCACTGAGCTAAAACTTCTACTGTTTAACTATGCGCAGCCGAACAATCTTTTTCTTATATTATCATATGGCTGCCAAAGTTTTGTCTCAGCATCTAGATTTCCATGCGTATTTGAATTTTATTTTTTCCTAATTGGAAGTTCGCATATTTCCTTGAAACTACTTCATTATCTTCTTTCTCCAGTTGACAATTTCATTTTTATAGGAAGCGGCTCTACAGATACGTAAAGTCACGGGAAGAACTCACTAAAAAGAGCAAGGAATTGGATCTCAATAACTACAGAAGAATGTTCCTCAAAAGACGTATAAAGACTGCAAATGCAGCATTGCGAGCCCTCTTAGAGAGAGAGACAAGTATGTCTAGCTTGGGAAATCTCTGTTACTTTTTTTTATTTTGCATTTCTAGGCAACATTGATGAGATTCTCAAAAAAGATGCCGAGATTGCTGAGTTGTACAAAGAGATCTGTCATCTACGTGGCGAACTCTCTGAAGATGTTGTATTTGATCATATGAATTCGGAAGAGGATGAAAAGCTACAATTACCTTGCTCAACTAAAGGAGAAGTAGAAGAAACTGAGCAAATGAATGCAGCTGAATCTGACAGTGATGACGACATTGTTGTACTAGAAGATGTAGGTGCTCAGAAAACTTTCTAGTTGCAATTGTTGCGAGTTCAGAGTCCTCATTCATCACCATTTTATCTTCAATATTTATCATTTTCTAGTCAATCTTATTTTATTATTTTTTGTATATTCGTATGAAACGTTTTGAAACAACTAAAAGTGGAGGCTAGATTGTTCCTTTTTCCGAAATTTTTGTTCGGCTTGGTAAAGTACGCAATATCTCAAAACATTCAACAGGATTTGCTTTGCTGATTCACCTGTAGATAATAGTTTGCAAGAACACTATTAGCTTTAATGAAAATCATAATCAGAAATTGCAGAAAGATAAGTATATTTGTTGGTGCAACTATTATTTGACTAGTAAGAATTCAGTGAAGGCAGCAGTAACTTTGCCTAACTGTTTTAGCAGATA